TAGCTCCCAGCCCAGCTTGAGTAATGGTCCCTCCATAGCCCCAAGCTCTCAACCAAGTTTGAGTCATCGACCAAGCAATGCACCTTCTGTTGTACCCAGTTTGTCTGAAGAAACTTCATCAGAAACAACTGARYTGGAAAAAGTTCTTGAGCAACTATCACAGTTGCTCTCSGATCTACAGTCCCAGYTCAACTCCCAGCGATGAGATAGTATCGCTCTAAGGCTCGAAAATCGAAATAGGGAACTTTGAAATTCGCTTCAGCTTGTAAACTTTTTGCTGTTGTTTGTTCATGATGTCTTGGCTTGAAARGATYTGWTCGATGGTAGACTAGTTGGTCTGATACTAACTGCTAGTTCTTGAGAATATTTGTCAGAGAGGCAAAATTCGGCTACAAACACYGTAGCTAGTGATGTGAAAGATCCATAAATTATAAGACTAGCTTTAGCGTGTCCCGTTTCAAAAGAAGAAAAATTGATATTCACTAATTATAGYTGGCTTGAGCGTGCCGGTTTGATGGGTAGACGACTRGGTACTTACTTTTGGCACGTTTTACCCCTTCTGATCGCTGTGTTCAACACAAAAAAACTGTAGCGAGTTGCSAATTTTYTGTTTGTATTAGTCGAGACGAAGGAATCGAGCAAGTACAATARTCATTCTCCTCGAATTTTGGCAAGGGATCTGGTATGAATATTTATCATRATAGCATAAATTGATTTAAAAGCAWATTTTCTGCGACCAAAGGTAGGTTTGCATTACCCGATATCATCTTTCCGTACAATATACAAAACTGGCTAGTTACATGAGTGAATCAGAGAAAATAAACACTATTTGAATCATCATTACTCTTATATTTATTTCGTGTCTGAGTMGACAAAGGTACAGTCACTGTCGACGACCATATATCACAATCAAATTTGATAAWTTCTGATGGAGATCAACCACTGAATGCTATGTTTTGTTATTCAGAGGCGCCGACAATTTCATCKGCAAGGATATTGTTGTCCTCGAGTGCCTCRTCAAGTTGAGCCGTAATGTCTTCGTTATGASATGTTTCTTGAGAGACTGCCGGAACAACATGCCCGTGTTCGTCAACAATAACATCATCGTCCGCTGTTGCATATAAAACTTTGAAAAGGTTATCAACCACATCCTCCCTTTCACACCCTTCCCAATTTTGATCCTGTTTGATTTGCAAAAAGAGTTCGATAGTTCTTAGTTTCCCAAAATAAAAATCTCTTTCYCTCTCAATGTCTGAAACTGCACTCTCTAACTCGATAACTTGTTTTTCAAGTTCAGTATTTCGTATTACAAGCTTCGGATCCGGATTAGCCTTCACCGGAGCTCTTTTCGATGTTGAATCTTGGCGAATCGGTCGTGCTTTGTTTTCTGACGCTCTTAAAGGCTCTTTCGGCTTGACAGTTGGTCGTTGASTTCGAGTGGATACCCTAGGTTTCGATGGATAACTAGATTTCGTTGATCTGGAAGGCCCACCCTTTGCTGCAGCCTTATTCATGGCATCGTTATACTTTTTCCCGCCCTTACCCTTGGCCCGGATGGCTTTAGCATCGTAGCCTTCGCGATAAGCACCCGACTGATCATAAAATGCTTTCAGCCACTGACAAAATTCCAGATTGTCTTCTCAAAAGATAAAGATAAGTTTTTAATTTTGATTGATTATTCAATCGTTCAGAAATAAAGGCAAAGAACAACGGCACTGAGCAGGCCTTGAACCGATATGCAAATACAATGATTTGTTTCACGCTATATACYTGGAAGTAWCAAACTTTCACTTACCTTGATATTTAGCTCKGATCAACTTAGGAACATCAACAAAACGCTGAACATTGTTCTTTGTGAATGCAGCTTGGAGGAGTTTATAGTTAGCTACATATTCGTAGTCAGACCTGTGAAAATCGTTGTATCAGACGACGAATAGCAGTAAAAACAACGACGAGTCATCAAAAAATCTGTATGTTAGTACCCGACCCGTTTTCGCTAACATCRGAGCAATGTTCARCAGATTTTGAGGTTCCTTTCCTTCCAAATTCGGGTTGCCCAGAATAGTCACATTCCAATGGCCCAATCATTCTACAATTCGTCCAAGATGTCGACAGAAAACGGACCTTGCTTCCCAATTAATTCTCGATAAAGGAATACTACCTGGGAAAATGTAGTCTGCCAGCTGGCAAGCTATGGCTCCAGTAGCTGTTTGTTCAATCTTCGTTAGCTGTAAATCAAGAAGATCRTTGAAAAAAGAGAGAAGTTCTTGTCTCCCAACAAAGTAAGCATTGTCCATCATGCCGACGACATTGTCTGCAGAGCGTGTCATCTTGAATGTTGCTGTTTCACGGCTGATGAAGAATAGGATTCCTGTGATAAATGGATGATCGTTCTTCGCTGGACTGGTACTGTATTGGTGGTGACTAATACAGATAATGTATGTGAACTGAAAGTATGGGATGCGCAATCTGCATCGAAACCTTGCATGACATCAAGATCATCGTACACCCGATACGAGTACGGGCCAGCAAGGAATCAGGAAGACTCGTAGTCCGGTACCGGCCGGTAGCGGTACGGAGAAAAATGTCCCGATGTTCGGTTCGTTTCGTACGAGTACGTACGGTACCGTACATACCGTACTGTGTATTCTGGAATACAGTTTTCATCGATGAATTTGAAAAAATTACCGGTTCATTAGAATTCAAATTATTTTTGAACGTTTTGTCACAACGGTCGATTGTAGTCGTGACTGATTTTTTTGTTCGGGAATGGGTTTCAGCTTGGCTACTGGAACCATGTCGATTTCGATGTTTTTCGAAAAAATTAAATTCTCCGGTCCCCTTTTTTCCATTATGTGATCGGTTTTGATCACAAAAAAATGTGATCAGAAATGATCACAAAATTGATGAATTTCTTGATCACAATTTTTTGTGATCAGTTTTGATCACACTTTTTCCAACGGATTAGAATTAATATTTACTTTATTGTTACATTAATAATTATATTTGATTTCTATGATTCAATTATATATAAATATTTATATTTATACATATACAGTCATGAATGGTCGCACGTCGCGTATACAGGACTGATATACTATTAGTAGTAGTACAAAGGCGTAAAAATAGTTTTATTATTTATATTAGGTTATTTAATTCTTATATAAAAATGGGACTAGTACAAAATGTACACAAGACAGTTCGAATTTGTGATCAAGATTGATCACAAGAAAAAACTGATCACAAATTTGTTACTTCTGATCACATTTTTTTGTGATCAAAACTGATCACAATTTTCGGTACCCAGAGGGGGATCTGGGAATCTAAGTTTTTTCCCAAAAATTGAAATTGATATGGTTCCTGGAACCATGTCGATTTCAATGTTTTTTGAAAAAATTAAATTCTCCGGTCCCCTTTTTTCCATTATGTGATCGGTTTTGATCACAAAAAAATGTGATCAGAAATGATCACAAGTAGCTAGTAGTAGTAGTAGTAGTACTACTACTACTACTACTACTACTACTACTACTACTACTACTAACTTGTCCAAATCAACAACAAAGGTTTATTGTTCTTCCACAAACCAACAATGGTGGTTACTACTACCAGTACCATATTCAATTTTTATGAAACACACAGGGTGCACATTTTTTTGTCAATCACAACCCTCAGGTAGTCAACTTTTATTAGCACTTCCTCTGTCCTGAAATAAGTGTGCCCTGTGGCCTCTTTTGCTGTCAACAGTAAAATCACATTGATATGCCAAAAAAGGCCCTGTTTAAGTAACTATCGCAAGTACATTGGACACTTTCACTTAATACAATCTTTATAATTGTATACATTTGCAACAATAGATCTGTTAAACAAAAAAGAAGCAGTCAAATTGCCCAAATATTGAGCTTATTTCATTAGAAAAGGTGCCTAGTAGTAGGGTACACTTATTCTTTCAGGACAGAGGAAGTACTTGTACTACTAGAGGCATACTTGAAAAGAGATCAATAGCCTGGCAGCATTTCAGTCAAAACATTAACTTTTGGTTGTCAGATGCACTTTCCACCACTGCTGTTGTTGGAGGAGCATGCACAAAATAACGTGTACTGAATTGTTTTAGTAGTAGTAGTAGTAGTAGTAGTAGTAGTAGTAGTAGTAGTAGTAGTAGTAGTATTTAGACTGTATCTAAATTAGTAGGATTGTGAGACTAAAACTAATGGGAAATAGTTAACTCAAGGAATCCATTGGTCTACACACTTTCCCGTGTTATACTGGATTCATTGAGTAAGAATTGATAGTAGAAATATGCTTCTGACTAGTACTAATCGATCGTTAGCTAGTTTCCACAGTTCTTGGATCCTGTGGATCTCAGTAGTGATCCTACTGAGCGACTTTAGAACAGAACTCCCAATCAACTAGTTCTGTTCTGAATTCTACTTCTCCTTCTGAGAACTAGCAAGGAGGAAGTAGTATATCTATATACAGATATATACTGACCTGTATATATGGGTATGTAGTGACGCTTCGGTTAAGTGCAGTATATAGTATAGTATATACTAGTACTTGTATACTAGTAGTACTATATAGTAGCTTTCGACCTATATACTATATATATAGTTTTCAGTCCCAGGGACTCATGATTGGATCCACGAGTGGTCCTCCGTACTGTTCCTACCGTACTCGTTGCAGAGCAGATCATACCAAACTATCTTATGTTGAATATTCTTTGTAAAGTGTTATGTTCCTAAAAAGGTTAGTAACTACAGCATTAGTTATAATGTTGAAAAAACAAAGAACCCCAACCCCGTCCACCAATCTCAAAGGCAGGAAGTGTAGCCCAAGCCTCATCAATGAAATGAACTGTGACACCCATTTACTTCTGATTTCATGGCTTATTTGCTCATGATATGAGACAAGAATATACATATCACATCAAAGTACTCACTTGACAGAGTTGTTATGGGCCTTGAAGTGAGTCTTTGGGCTGTGAAGAAATACTACTATGAATACTACTGGTATTTTAAGTGTACTGTTGGTTTATTTCTCCAGGAATATCAGTGGTAGACTTCATATAATGCATAGCTGAGGCCTGCTTACTAGTACTAACGATAAGAGACAAGAATATATATACTATATATATATATGATTTTCATTATGAATGGTTGGGGGAAGCATTTGTAAAGACCTTTATTTGTGCTCTGAGCATTAGACTTATAACTCTAATGCTTGACCCAAATGTTACATTCCTAGTACTAACTTTGGCTTTCCTAGCTTTCCAAATGTTTAGCAAAATATTACATTAAGAAACACAAGGTGTCTTAATTCCTTGATGTATTACTAGTACTAGCACATCATAATCCATGTTGTGAGATACCMTTGATCTAATCTTCTTTTGGTTCATTGACCAAAAATAATTGTTTTGAGATTGAATTATGGCACAAAAGTTTTTTTTCTAAGGTTCTAAAAAAGGRAAGAAAGTTTCTACAAAGAAACTTCACTGCCATTAGACCTTGATAATTTTATATCTCATTCTTTACTGTYGCCTTAAATGCTTCTTTCTTTCCAAATTGAGTCAATGCTATTATAAACCTTCCTTTTTTGCTATTACTACTAGTAGGTGCCTGGACAACAATCAATACTTCCATCAAAACATYAATACCCTTCTTTTTGCCATGTATGTTAGTAGTACTCAAATGGAACTTCATTCTTAACCAAATATTTTTTAGCAAAATACTGTTTTGTAATAGCAGTGCAATTATCACTCCAGATCCCCAGCATCTTAGTAGTACTAGTAGGAGTRCACATGTTACAGCAGCATAGTACAAAGGCTTTGTTACCAGAAGGTTATGTGATCTAATAACATCTTTTTTCAATGAACTTAGTTGGGGGAAATCCAGTATGATATCTTTTGTCTGGCTTTATGAGGGAAGAAAGTAGTATGGATTCAAGTTGGTGGTTGTTTGGCTCCAATCACCAGTCAGGAACTTTATTTGTATGRACAGAGTTGAGACACCATTATTGAAAGCCTTTGTGATAGCAGATTGTTGGGATCCAACAGTAATTAGCCTTGAAAGATTGCATGAGACATGGTGCTGGTGAATTTTTGGGGTAAAAAACAGACAGAATTAATTCTTTAACTTTGCTGATAAATCTAGCTACTTTCCACCACAATCAACTTTTGTTTTCAASTTTTGGAAGCTTTTTACTTGAGGATTTGTAATTAAAAATTTGTAGCAACCATTTGTATCATAGAGTCTCCATTTTATGAGGGACCACTTCTGTTCTTCTTTGCTTTGCCCACCAGTGAACTTTGTCTAATCTACTGATTCCAAATAGAAGCAAAAGAGGTTATGGAGACCCTTCATCTTCTATACATAATGTGGAATTCACCACAGCTGCTCTCTGAATCAGCATGTGGACTCACCACACCTGTTTTCTCAAGCAGCCTCAGAAAATGAAAAAATCTTGAATAACAAAAAGCTGCAGAAGCTTGAAAGCAATCATATGAACTACTACTACTACTACTACTACTACTACTACTACTACTGGGACTTGAACATCTGACTACCCTTCATGAGTCTTGTATGTGCTGCTACTACTAGTGTAAAACCTAGTAACTGCCTCAAGTAGCAGTTCATTCTTTCATCCAACAAGCCAGCAAAGATTTGAGTCTATAAAATGAGTTTTTGTACTATTTATTTATGATGTTTTTGAAATTGTAAATGGTGGTGGTGGTAGTAGTAGTAGGTCAATGGCAATGAATCAGTGATCACTGGTAAGTAGAAGATAAATAACAAGAAGGAATTATACATAAGGACAGAAAAACATATAATACAGATTCTTATGCATTTACCTTCAGGAGCCTAGCACTACTACGAGTTTCATAACAATTGCATGCCGTCTTGCCCAGAGAGCAAAAAGTTTTAATTTGAAGTTCTAACTTTTGTTTTGAAGTTAAGAACTTCAGGTACTAGAAAGTCTACTATGTTCTACTGAACTAGTTTTTGGATGGCATTCATGATTAATTCATGATTGATCACCCTGAACCATTTTTTTGTTTTGAGGGGAATCGTGATTCGGCCATTCAGTCATTTTAAAAAACTAGCTCAGTAGAACCTGGTACATGATGTACAAGCAAAAGTTCATAACTTCAAATCGAAGTTTACTAGAACTTCGAATGATTACTTTTTGCTCTCTGGGCAAGACCATGTGCAATTGTTATGAAACTTGTAGTAGGAGTCAGTACTGCAAAGAATACTGGTATTCTTGGCATATTTTACACATTTCCAAAAATGTTGTTGGGTACTATGGAATGACATAATTCAATTATCCCTTTGTGACTAATGATGAACTTTTGTATCATTTGAATAGCAAACAGCTTATTTTTTGAGACATGGTGCTTTCACTGTATCTGGTATCAACAACAACCCTACTATTTTTTTCAGAGTATTTGTAAATGGCATATTTTTKAGAGACTTGGTCCTTACACCACTGTATTTGGGGGTATCAACAACACTAGTAGCAGCACTACTAATTTTTTCAGACTACTTGCAAATAGCCTACTTTTGAGAGACATGGTCCTTACACTGTATTTGGCTGGTAATATCAACAATGACAGTGCTATTAATTTTTTTCAGATTTCTTCTTGTAACAATATTGCTACTAGTAGTACTACTGCTRGTAGGATGCCTTGTGGACTGATTGSATTCCATCTATTTCTAGAGATGAGAGACTTACTTTAACTGTACCTACCACCACCACATACTGATTAGAGCAACAAAGTRCAAAATATTGTAATATTTTTCTTGGGTCAGCAACYTTAGTAATGACAAGATAAGAATAAATGTTAACAATGATGGTGTCCAAAATGTTGTTAGTAGACATGGAAATGCTAAGAGCTCCAACRTTTTTGTAACTCTAACTGTCAACAAACACTTTTGATTACTAGTATTACTAGCATTGCTAGCATTACTAGTAACATAACAAGTATTAACTATTCACATCATAACTGTATAAGAAGAGTGGCAGAAAAAAACTAGTACTAAGAGTAATACTATATGATATCTTTTGCCAAATCACACTAGTAGCAGGAAAATGGTGGCAGCATAGTATGATAACAACAAGAAAATTGCAGCCAAAATGCAGGAGGATGGCGCAAATAAAGGCAACACAATTGCCACCAAAAAAGCTGAAAATGATAGTAGAAGTAACACTACTACAAGTACAAAAATGTTGAATGACATAAATTGTGTAGTWGTAATATCTGTCAATACACACAAAGGCAGAAAATTAGCCATTTGCTGCACCCAAACATTAATATGTAACCTCTTCACCAGACTTCTTGAAATTAGTWAATTTGCAATCACTATTGCTGTTGTTCCTGTTGTTATTCAAAGAGAAACATTCAATCATATTCCAGTGGTGAAGAGAAAAGACATCAGATACCCCTTACTACTTAGTGGGTCATGAATTTTAATAAAGGCATTTTTGTGCACAGACRAATTGTATTTCTTAACAGGCCCTTGCTCCCAATYAASAATGRACAWATTTGCACACTAGCAGAGTATATTAAGTCAAGCATTTTCTCACTAGAAAAAATGCCCAAAGTCTATTACAACCAGAGACTATTTTATCTCTTAATTCTAGCATTGATGTGGATTGCAAGAACTATTGTCATGGTGCCATCTGAAACACTATCAGGAAATACTACTTCTTGTAGTTTGTTTGCTGGTGTTACTGTATTTGGGTGAACAGTGAGGGATAAAACCATAACCCTAGATTATGTTTTTGCAGTTCACATGATGCAAATAGCAAGACCACCAAATTTTCCCTAGCAGCACACCCTAGTACAAGTACTAGTACTAGTCCAACTTTTGSACTTTGTCTCTTGACAAACCCTTGGCACCATAACCATTCTTGCCAGTTCAATTACCTTGTTGGCAAGCTTGATGTGTTATATATTTGTTACCATTTTAACTTAGAAATACCAATAATTATTGCCATGTGGGGGAGCCATGAATGTGCAAAGACCTTAACATTAAAGACCAAGAAATGTTGTAGACCTTTCTTGTACATTGCACACTAGTRTCATTCAGTATGAGCATTTGAAGCATTCATTCTTCATTGTTTCATGGTATGTCTACTATCAGGTAGCTGGATAAAACTTCACTTTGTCACAGTCATTTTGGGATTATTCATACTACTAGTAGTACACTAACACTACACTATTGAATAGTACACTCATTCTTTGTTTTATCATCTTCTGGTCTTCACGTTTAAAAGAAAATTTGAGAGAATGAATTATCATACAGCTTCTATTGCATTCTTTGGCTACAAAGGGGGATAATGGTAGGTTGTTTGTAGGAAGGAGGGTGATTTGAAGATGCTTTGTTCTCTTCATTTTCCAATAGAATGCGCAGCTGTGCCATACTCGTAGTCACTTGACCCAAATATCCCTTGATTGATGGTAAGAAACACTGGCCCAAACAGGATGCCACTGAACATCCAAATAATTTTGCAATAGAGTAGACCTCAGCGTAATCGTCATCGTGTGTGAGTCGTACCCGGTCTACAATCCGAATTCGTCCTCCTTGGCTGTCTGTATCCTCCATTGAAACATAGATGGAATGGGATGCATAGATCCCTCCATGAAAAGGCCCAACCTTTAGGCCAACGTGGCCACGTCTTCGCTCGGCAAACATGACGATTCTTCCGTACGATGTGCATCCGAAGCTTTCGAGGATACTCTGTCCTATATCCAGAATAAAACTAAAACTACTGGAAGGAGATTGCAGTGCCGAAGTCGTCGCTTCGACCCATTCGCCCTCGTATTCTCTTGTCCTTTCGCTTTCGTCATGAAAATCATCACTTTCAATATTATTTCTTGTTTCGCCCACACWAAAACCTGAAGACGCAGTGTGACTGCTATTCGAGGTCACAATCAGTGTCTCAATGGGATCGCACCAAAGACTTAGCAAATCAGTATTGCTAATGATTTCCATCACATCCTCCACTGTATATCGGGAATTTTCTCCTAGCAAAAAGGATACTTCGAAGGAATCATCGCTCTCAATCTTTGTTTCGACACTTGCTATAGCTCGATCAAACGCTGAATTGATGTGATGGCGTTGAAAAGTATTGCCTGAAAGTAAGCGAGTGACGTCTGGCTGATTTGATGCGGCACCATTCGAATTCATGTCAGTGGCCACTGTCAGAAGTGGTGCATTGAGATCTTGATTGTCGATATTTTGACCAAAACCTAGGAAAGGAATATTGTSCCACCATTTTTGATCCTTTCTTATTCTATCTGTTACCGCGGTGACGACTACAGGGCTATTGTTTGGTGCAGCTGAAATCAAGGCACCTGACTCCCATTCTTGATTTTCGAGCAAGGGTGACAATCGCGCGTTCGACTTTCGTTCTGAACAGCTTACCATTGTATCGTGCGATTGTTGAAGCTGCATGATAGTGTCATCAGCCTCTCTCATCAATTCCGAAAATCCAATATCTTCGGTTTGAGAAATGACAATGTGCGGACCATCAAACGTTTGTGAATGCCCTCCTATGTTTTCACTTTCGATGGGATAAATAATATCCATACGAGACACGTGTTTGGATGCGTCCGAATCAATTACAATGTCCTTGAAAGATGTTGCAGAAAAAAATGATGATGTTTGGGTTGAACTCATATTTGAAGGTGATGTCGGTGACAGCGTTTGCAACTGAGAATTGAGCGATTTTATCACGACCGAATCCGATGCGTTAGGTAYCGAACAGCAACTAGTCCCATCTGTTGTTATTGATTCTACAAGATCCGGCGGCGTGAAGGGCGACGAGTTTTGTAAAGAGCTCGTTACGGTCGAGCAATTTTGGATGGATTGAYTTGAGTTCAATTTCTCACACATTTTCTCCGGTTGACTTCCGTGTGATGTTGAATCGCATTTCGGGAAATTCTTAAAAACATCATATTTGTCATATTCCTTTGGAGACGATATATTTTCTTCAAGAGCAAATGGCGGCGATACACACAAATTCTCGGTGCTGGTGTTTCTATCACATTGATTCATAGTTGCTATTGGAAAACTTTTCTCGGCTTGCTTTGCGGATTCTTTGGGGCAGTGGATCCACAACACTGGTGACTTGCTGATTCTTGTAGCAATGAAATCAATTACTATCCTTCAGACGAACTTCCTCTCGACAATCACCACTCTACTTTTAAATATGATTGTCTAGAATCTCTTGCCTGACAGATTGGTGGTCTGCAGGTTGGACCGAAGAATAATTTGGTTGTCACTCCATGATGAAGAAAGAGGTACGAAGTTAGGTACGTAAGTGATACCGTAGCTTCCGCTCCTAATTGAACAAGAATTTTGGCGAACGAATCCGGGATAAAATTTATTTTGTGGCAGCAGCGGGACTTGGGCACACACGTTTCGATAGTCTGACACCTGCAGCTAACAAAAAACAAAAAACCGTCTGTACGGTGCTTTTCGYAGGGGTCTCATTTTAGAGGGGAGCGCAACGAATCGGTCAAAATTTCCAAAAAGTCACCCCAGRATATTTTTTTAATTCTCATTTTTACTGCATAATACTAGTAGTAAAACTTACTATCCAACCTTCAAGCAGTTACAGCTTTATCAAAAATACTATTATTTTTATTTTTGAGTAGCCAGACTGTCCCAGTTTTAAAGGCTGATTCTGAATATACCATTTTCCTGGATATAAAATTGATATTTGTGATACTATTTTACTATTGAAAAATGAACCATACATACTAGTAGTAGTAGTACTAATTTTCCAGCATACTAGTAGTAGTACACTAGTAGTAGTAGTAGTAGTAGTAGTAGTAGTAGTAGTAGTAGTAGTAGTAGTAGCTAGTGCTACTAGTAGTAGTAGTAGTAGTATAATGATGAGTTTCACCTCAGTACCAGTGTTAATAGTATTGGGAATTGAGTTACATGGATTCCCTTGTGACTTGTTTGAGTTTGATGGGTAATTTTTGATTCATATTCTTGGGGACATCAAAGTTTAGATCTTGCTGCAGGAGTGTTTTGAGAAGTCCTCACAGTGATAACTTTGTTTGAGTCTCCTTCTTTGAGGACAACCTCTATCCATTCAACTTTCTTGGCATCTACACTTTGAACATCAAATTCATCAATGTTGATAATTTCACAATCCTGGTACCTATTTTTCAGTTTGACATAGTAGTTGAAAGYACACACCATGGCTYGATTTTCTTTTGATTTTTTAACATCTAGTATGTTGTCATTCATCATGACAGGTCTACWAMMAWMWTAWRWAMTMYTC